ACCGTGAAAACGAGATGATTCCACGCACACCCACGATTATCGTGATGCACGGATACTAGGCGCGGCTTTTCATCCCGTACCAAGCGAAAAGTGTTCCGTGTCACTGATTTATCACGTACCTATGTTATGCGCCCGTGTCCGCTTCGTCGATGATCCTGTCGTCTGTCAATGGGTGAAACTCACGCTACCGATTTAACACAGAATTGCGAACTTCTCACGTTCTCGGCACTTTTCAGCTCGTGCCTGTCGCACGCCAACCATGTCCGCCATCTTGGGGCAACCGCCAAATCCTTCCAGGTAAGACAATCACATCCCGTGAAAAGTTACTAGTGCGACCCTTCGCAAGCTAAACAATATGAAAAATGCAAAGTAACAGATCACTATAGCTGCGAAGTGTAAGCAAAGACATGTAAAGACAGTAGCATACTTTAAGGGGCATACTCTAGTCGTGGACTCTGGTATAGATTATCAATTAGCTAGTAAGTCGTGCGGGACGTCATTCGTAAGGGGCCTTAAAAAGAACCGGTTCACGAGCATTATTATACTTATGAAATTAATCTTTCATTGTAAGTTGATCATACATGATTTTTTAATAGTGATTAAACATATCTTATCTACATTACTGCAATCACATATCCATAATGTGGTTTAATCTGACATCTTTCGGAGAAAATTTTAACAAAATCCGAACACGCGATATGAGATAAACTCTGCATAGTTCTGCACTTTGTACTGCACACAGGCATATGAGAATAGATCGAACCGCATAGATTCGAAATCAGGCGACTGAAAATTGAATGAAAGAGTCTCTTTTTTTCTATCAACATATGAGAAAGAGATGGAGAAAGAAAGAGAAACTCTTCCAAGACATGTTTTCTCTATCTTTTACGAGATCAACCAAAATACATTGGACGCTCAGTCTATTTTCTTATATCTATCAATCACAAATTAATAATTTTTTCAATTTAGTAGATATAGTTTTAATATAGATTATAGATAAACTTTCAGGGCAAAAGGCGTATAATAATAGTACGTACATC